CCCCCCCCCCCCCTTTCTCCAACTCTACCTGCTTTCTCTCTCCCCCATCTCAGTTCCCATCTCATTCATCCCTTGATCGTTCTCGCGTCAATTCCAAAAAACGCCCCCCCAAGTACCTACTATTCGTTCCATCACAGCACGTCTACTCCCTCAGACCCTCTCGCGTGCCCCCTCCCCACTTCTCCACATCTACCCCCTTCCCCTCACCCCTACTCTTTAACTCTTTCTGATTTTTTCCTGATTTCTCCTCTCCCCCATTGTTTCTTTTATTCCTACTTCTGCGTGCACTGCCACCTTTTGTTCACCTGTTTGTCTCTCCAGGGGGAAGAACAACCCACAGAAGGGAGACTTCCACCCTCCATCGCTGGGCCTCTCTTTTCACTATCCTCACGGGAAGGTAGGGTAAAGAAGGGAGAGGGAATTGATGCAGACATAAGGGTATTGAGTTGTGGGCAAGGACTTTGATTGCTATAACCATATAGTTGACGTGGCCGAACTTCACACTGGCAGGGAGATACAAGGATGGCAGGATTTAGCGCCTCATTCAAAATGCCCCGTCATATCAGATAGATGGAAGGAAGAAAAATCGGAAGGTACAGCTAGTAGCCCCCCCCCCCCCCAAAAAAAAGGGGCAACTACTGGAGTACTTCAAGTTTTTCTTCACTCCACAGCTATACCCACCAACCCTTAATCGTCTAATTTTGAAAGTTTTTTCTCGCCTACTCTACAGCAACATAAGTAGGACGACATTACCTGAATCTCGGTATCTACTACGATGAAGTTGGGTTGTTTAAAGAGCAAAGGAGCAGGGTCCCTCCTATTCTACCAGGGCGCAATGCGCCACAACATGTTCAGACAACTGGGAGGCAGACCCTATGACCGCCCCTTGATCAATCACTCCAGCAAGATGATAAGCAATATAAACAACTTGAAACCAGTGGGGGTGGGTTCTATAGCAGCCATGCAGATGGATTCCTCACAAATTGGAAAGGAGAAGGGCAAGGAACAAGCCAACAGTCCTAGTTCCGCCCTCATCCCTGTCCAAAATCACATTCAAACAGAACCTTCGTGATCACACCCGCCTTCATAGGAAAGGGCCATGGTGCCAGACGGACCAGTCAATTTGAACGGACAGATCACGTTGGAACAGCGGGGAGCCATTTCCCCAACACTGGATCTGATCATGCGAGAAGTGGATGATGAGATATTAACAGAGGAGGAAAGGATGTTGGAAAGAGATAAAAGGACAACACAAACATCTCAATCTTCTTAATCCTCCTTGTCTCCTCAGTCTGCACAGGACCAAAGGAAACCATCATGGGCACAAAAGGTGAGAAAGTCTCTTGAAGGCAGATCTCTAACAATTAGGAAACCCTCAGTCACTGAAACAGGTTTGCCAACAGAAGAACTCTAAAGTTCCTCTGAGAAATTTGTCCTCTGCCAGGGCTTATTTCCTTACACTCTTCCTTCTTCCCTCGGAGCAGAAGGTAGTGGACCAAGGAGGAAGGAAGATGCTGATGAAATCTTACCCTGCAGACAAGTTGGCACAAAGAGATGCAATCTACACTAAACATGCGAGTAACTGGATCTTTTATGATGATTGTGCATACAGATCAGTAAATGATAAAATCAAATGGATCTGTAAACATTTGGAATCTATAAAGGATGGGCCAGAAGCAGTTAAAGAATTTTTCCTCATTCAGCCAGTGACACCCACGGTCTTCACGGTACTAAGTCTGTTTGAACAGGATAAGAGTAAAATGGATGGGTGGAAAAAGTTACGATGGGAAGAATCAGACGTCCGTATCTACCCATGGATGCCGAAGAAGATAGACCCTGAGGAAAAGAGAGATCAACTGATGAGGGACTATTACTGGGTGGAATTGCGCCACATCCCGATAGAGCTTCAAGCAACCTTCATTCATGACTTCGGTCAACACTACAAGATAGTGGACTTTATAGATCCACTACCGACGTATGTGGCGAAAAGAGATGACTGTGTGATGTTGGCACTGGATCTTCGCAAAGATCAGCCCTTCTCCGTCGATGATATCATTCCCTTCAAAATGGGGGGAAGGTTATATCAAATCCATACAACATATAAATTCAGACCTTGGTGCTAT